AAGGGTAATTATGTGCGACATCCCTTATATTTAGAACTAGATAAAAAATTTATCTTTACACTTTGAAATATCATTTCGTCTTTGTTGTGGAAAAATCTTAATCTAATAAAATATTTAGAGATAACAGATATTGTTTCAAAATACTAAAACACAAAGGATGTAATAATTAATATCCAATATAGAACATAAAGTCATATGGTCTTGAATACTATAGGTTTGTCTATTATTTCACTCGACATCTTATTCAGTTTTCAGCAGCCTTAGTACCACTACCTATGATGTATATAAATTGAGTATGTCAGAAAAGCTATGCTGACAAAAGGAGAAAGCCCTTGGAATTCCAGGTTGGTGACCGCGTATTGTTGAAGGTCTCACCCTAAAAGGGCATGATACGCTTTGGAAAGCATGACAAACTGAATCCAAGGTACATAGGACCATTCAGGATTCTTGCCAGAATCAGTCCTGTAGATTACAAACTTCGACTACCCCAAGAACTAAGTAACATTCATCCTACCTTCCACGTTTCTAATCTGAAAAAGTGTCTATTTGATAAGACTCTTGTGATCCCACCCGTAGAGATTCTAGATAGGGAAGTTAAGAAAACCAAACAAAGTCGTATCCCGATAGTGAAGGTTCGCTGGAATGCAAGACGGGGACCTGAATTCACTTGGGAGCATGAGGATCAAATGAAACTTATGTATCCTCGTCTTTTTCCCTAAGTCTGTGTGTATCTCTTAAACTTAATTTTGGGACAAAAATCCCTCAAACAGGGGGATAATGTAACAACCTGATATTTCAAAATCAATATAATAGTGTAAGTCAAGCATTGTAACTTATTTTAATGAAAACAGTGTCAAAAATACATTGTTTAATAATTTTTATTGGGACGAATAATGTAGTAGATATTGCAACAAAGTTTTCAAAAATATAAAGAACACTAAAATCCGAGTTATAACGAAGAGGTTATAACCAATCGAAAATTCGTGTTAAAACCGGTAAAACACTGTTAAGTGTAAAAAAGTGAAATTTCAATAAAAATGAAGTCAAAATTTGTCGATGGAGTCTAAACGAAAGTTGTAGAACATAATCTCACCTACACGTGAATATAAAGAACGTCAAAAACGGAGGTTGTAGGCAAAAGTTATGAATTTCTGAAGTTTGAAAAATCATTATAGAAGGATTACGCCCGGCATACTAGAAGGCTCGGCCTCGGATTGGCCACGTCGACCCTCCGTCACCCCTCCCTCGCATGCGTGCCATGCAACGTAGTAGCTTCGACGCGTGATCAATAGGTTGGGCACGTACGCTACGCCCAACGTACTTTGAGGATTCAACCTCCTATAAATAGGAATCGAGAGCTCCGGGTTTAGGTTTCAAATTCACAACCTCTCTCCTACTTTTACACACTTTCAATCCCTTTTAACTACCCCGATGCCCCAGTAACATATCCACGCTGCGACGAAAGCCCGAAGCCCCGAGATTCTCAAGAAGCTAACCTCTTTCCAGTCGAAGTACTGCCCACGTAAAGCTCAACTTTTCATCAAATCGTCAATCTTACGAAGTGAGTTCATACCCCCATATTTTCATGTTTTTTACTGTTTTAGGGGGGGATACAATTCTAACACAAGGATTTTGTGTTACAAACAAATGATTTCAAACTGTGATAAAATGACATTAAGTCATCAAAAGTATTTCAAAATGTTAAACTCTTTTATAAACTTATATTTTCCCCCAAAATCATATTTATATATATCTAATTATATAAACAAGATTTAAAAGACTTAGAACTGATAACTCACTTTATTTCCTTTTCGTTATTTGGATGTGGTTTAGGGTATCGGTTATTTGTCCGACTGTCGTTTCAATTTTAGTTATATATCTTGTGTGTGTGTGTGTGTGTGTGTGTATATATATATATATATATCTTGTGTGTATATATATATATATATATATATATATATATATATATTAAAGTTATTTCATTTAGTTTCAAATACCCTTTGTAACATGTCGAGCAAAAGGTTGCATTCATGAACAGTTAGTATCAATACAAAAAATACATATAGATTATAATATGTATAATTTATGATTCAAAGAACATTAACTCATGAGTCAGGTATACCAGAGTACACCATTTTACAAGAACATAGGTTTATATTATTGTACAAGAACAAGAGTTTGATTCAAAACTAAACAAGAGTATACAACTTTCAAGTACACTTAGAGTATACAAAACAAGGGAAAATACTATCAATCATTTATTTCAGAATTATTGGGTTTTCATTATACACCTAACGTTTATATGTTTTTTATGAGACAATATGTTTAGAATGTTTATTCATCTGAACAATACAGTTAAAGTCCTGACATTCTAACCAGAATCTCCAGCCAGGGATCGAAACAAGTGTGTATAGATATATATTGGGAATTAACAAACCTGCACTCAGGTTACTAGCTATAGTCGCACATACACGCCTACGAGTGACAATTGTTATCAACAGTTTAAATGCCTTCAAAGTGTTTGTTTCAGTCCATCCAGTCATAGTACAGTTATAATAACTCATTAAAAAGATATTAACAATACGTTAGTGTATATTCAACTAAACATGAGTATATTTTCAAAGTACTAGTTTACAGAGATACAGTTTACAATAACAGCTGGTGGAGCCAAGAATATTCACAGAACAATGGTTTACAAACAGAATGGTTTTATGGGATTAAAACTCCATTTTGTACATAGCAGAAAATATAGGATGTTCTGGAACAATTTTACATATTCAAGGAACACAAAACATACTTTTAAACATAAATACTTATGCACTCACTAAAATATATGTTGACACTCTCTTTTCAAATTACATGTATTCTCAGGGAAACAATAAACAGGTACTGCCCGAGCTTTTGAGAAGATGAAGCCTTTAGAGTCATAACTATTGTATTTTGTTGCAACTATTTTGGTGTCAATATACAGTGATTGAACGCATGTAAATACTTATACTTTTTAAATACAATAGTTTTTTCTACTTTGATTACTATGATGCATGTGTTGTGATACTACAAATGAAGTCCTCCACCCCCTACGTTTCTGTCGTCTGGTTTGGGGGTGTGACAGTATAACATTGTTGTTATGGGTGAGATATATATTATACTAGTTGTGAGACCTATGTATTACGTGAGTTAACTATATATATATATATATATATATATATATATATATATATATATATATATATATATATATATATTTAGGATATAGATCCGGTAAGAAATTTTTTTTGGTAGGAAGGTAAGAAGTTTTTTTTTCTACATATTTTTTTGACGAACAAAATAAATGAATCACTAGATGATTCATTTGTAAGATGATTCGCAAGAAAAAATTCCAAAAAAAAACATTTTTATGATTCATTTTTAAGTAAATTAAGAAAAAATTCATTTTTATGATAATTTTAGTGAATAACAACAAAATCATTGTATAAATGAATCATCGAGATGTTTTTTTGAGATTTTTTCCTTGTGAATCATCTTACAAATGAATCATCTAATGATTCATTTTGTTTGTTCGTGAAAAAAATATGTAGAAAAAAAACTTCTTACCTTCCTACCAAAAATTTCCTTCTTATTTGATCTTGACTATATATATATATATATATATATATATATATATATATATATATATATATATATATATATATATATATATATATATAAAGGTCAACGTATTTAAGAATTTTGAATTTATAAAAAAATAAGAAAAAATAATGATTTATTATAATGGAAATGTTTTTTATCTATTAAATTTAAACAAATAATCTAAATAAAGAAAATAAACTAATAAGTTTTAATTTTGGGAATTTTAAAATTAAAATATAAGTTTATTAGTGAAATTAATATCCGTTTATTACTACATTTATTGTAATTATTATATTAAATTATTATGTGGAATCTAATTAAAAAAAAACTCATAAAATGACATGTGGAAAAAAAATTAATTCAAAATAACCACAAAATCACATTTTGACAAATTCAATAAAGTTTGACACGTGTTAAAAAAAAAACAATCATTTATTAGAGAGAAAAATTGTCTATATCAATTTAAGGAATAAAACATGTCGTATCCTCCAACTCTCGGGGTTCTAAAACTTATAGTAAATTACGTGGATAATCTCTATGGTTTGACTAATTTGTACATTTGATCCCTAATTTGTTTTCTAACTCATACAATTCTCATGATATGTTTTTATTGCATCTATAGTCTTTAGTGCTTAGCAGACATGATTTTTTTTTTCTAACTTGAATAGTTCTCATTAGTAATATGCACGTTTAGTCTTAACTTTATTTTCTAACTCAGACAATTTTCATGGCATGTTTTTATTGTGTCTATGGTCCCTACAAATAGTAAAAAAAAATTATAAAATATAAAATATAAAAAAAAATTCTAACTTGGACAGTCGTCATGGATAATTTGTAATTTTGGTCTCTAACATTTTTTTCTATTTTTCTAATTCAGACAGTCTTCATGGTATGTTTTTATTGCATTTATAGTTCTTAACAGACATAAAAATACTTTTTTTGTCTAACTTATAACAAATTTCATGGATAATTTACACATTTGGTTTCAACTTTATTTTTTTTAACTCAAATAATTTTCATGGTATATTTTTATTGAGTCTACGATCCCTACCAGATATAATATGATTTTTTTTCTAACTTGGACAATCCTTAGGGGTAATTTGGAAGCTTGATCCCTAAACACAAATAAAGGGTTGTTTGGATAGAAAAAAAAATATGATGTTTATTGGTTACTGCTTAATCCCACTACAATAAACAAATTTAAATGTTTGGATAGGAATCTTTAAAAATCAGCTTATTACGGTAGGAATAAGCAAAATAAACTGATTTTAATAAACAAAAGGAAAATGCTTATTGCTTATTAGTTATTTTACTCATATAAGTTGTTTTGTTTGCCAAACACTTAAAATGCTTATTGTTTATTGCTTATTCCCACCGCAATAAGTTAATCCAAACACATTTTAAAAAAATAATTATTCACACTGCAATAAGCAAATAAACATTAAGCTAAAAACTATTTACCCCTAAATCAAGTAATAACAATCTTACATCCAAATTCCAATACAAGTAAACATATGTTACATAATATTTCATTTAAAAATGAATCCAATAACACATATAAACACACTAAATACCCTAAAACATTCATCTTGTTCTATCATTTATATTTGATCCTTGACCTTGGAATCCTGGTGTGGGTCCCACATAGGTTTTCTTTGAGAATTGGGTGGCAGCTGTTCTTGCTCCTTCTATGGCTGCTGTAAGAGATGGAGAGGAAGTCTGATTGGATTGAGACGTGTTTGATGTTTTTTTAAGTGAGCCTGGTTTTAAAGAGAGTCGATTTCGAGGGTCTGGAAGTGGAAATTTAATAGGTAATTGGGCTTCAACCGGAGAAAGACCTCTAAGTGCTCCTTCGAGAATCTTTCCACAAAAAAAATAAAAAAATAAAAAAAATAGAGATTAGAAAAAGTTTTTTTTTTATAAATAAAATTAAATGACTATCGGTGTGATTGGTTGTAAGGAATTGAATTTACGAATTGCTGATATAAAGGTTAAAGTCTTAAAGATAATCAAATGTCAAAAAAAGAAACAAATAGTTTTATAATAAAAAAAGAATATTTACAGGTAACTTTTGGAAGATAAAATTATCATTTGATAGAAATCATGAATTTTAGTATATTATATTAAGGTACAATGTATTTTAACTCTATTGTATAAATTATTTAATTATAATCTAGACTTGTTTTTAAGAAAAATTCAAAAGTAAACATAATACAAGCTCATTTAAACCCAAATAAGATTATAAATAAAAATTACATGTTCAACTTACTTTTTACAAAATAAAATTAAAACCATGGAATTTTAAAATTAAAATGTGACTAAAAATTACATAAACAAAAAGTGTATATTGCAATTTTTATTCAACTCCATTCTATCAAAAAACATAGCTTCATTCCATTCCATTAGAAAAAACAAATAAAAAATAAAAATAAAAAACTTTTAATTTTCCAATTCTATAAATACCAAACACCACCCAAGGCTCAAAGAAAAATGTTTATTATGTGTTAGAGCCAAATTTCCATTCTTACCCTTTTTTCCAAGTTATAGACCCCTTGATATCCACGCATTTCAAATGGTATAAGCAATTTCTGCATAAATTATAAAAATTAAGTTAAAATACGACATTTAAATTTCAAAAAAAATTCTTTTTTGTTGCATTGAAAACAAAGTAAAAAGCACACCTGTGGTTGTTCACATAGCCAACAAAAAGGTGTTAGCCCTTCCAGCCTCACCTGTAAGTAGATCAACAAACTGGATCAAAAGGGGTATTTTTGTAATAAACTAAATAAACACAACTCCAATTTATTTTACAAACTCATAATTACACATTTTCCAAATTTCAAAAGAGGGTGAATGAAAGAAATAGCAACATTCATTGCTATTTCTTGCATTTAACACTTTTTTTTATACCAATTGTAGTAATAAAAACAAATCATTTGAAACTAAAATTTTCCAAATTTCAAAAGTTAACAGCAATTTTTTTTTGTAGGAGTGGAGTTTCAGATGATTACCCCTTGAGGAATATCTTCCCATGATGCAAGCTCTTCAGATGTAACACATCCAACAACTTCAACACAACCTAATAATCTTGAAACTGGATAATGTTCTGGAAATTTGAGATCAGTAACTCCATCTAATGCATATAACTGTCTGTAGAAGTCTTCCATTGCTTTAATTGTTTCAGGATCCGGAACCTTCCCAGCAGCATGAATCCAAAGTCGACCTTCGAAAGATTTACAGAAACATAAAGCCATTGAGGAAAAAGCAGTCATCGAAGAATACAATGACAGTAATTGTTTGATAAGCAGTGATAAAATCCACAGCATGATTCACTTCAGACTGAGAAGTAAAAGCGTGGAGTAACATCAAGACACTTATTTTGTCGATTTACCAGATCAATTCCACGTTTGGAAGTGAAAGATTCGACAAGTATAAATGAATTTGTAGCGATTTAAAAAGGAGAAAAGAAAAAAGGCGTTTGGGATTATGAAGTACCTGTAATTGGAGAAGGCCAAGATCTTCCTTCGATACGTTTGATACCATATACAAGCAGAGAAGCCCATGGCTGATGCATAGTTAGACATGGATTTCGGTAATTTCCGTCGCCTCTGCTTCTACTTGCCATCGATTTTGTCTGTATTTACAGTCTCGCGATCGAATTTCAGGTTGCAATTCAGAAAACGAGCTAGGGTTTATAAAGTTTTTGCCTCCCCTAACGATTCCTTTCTCTTGTTATGTTTTGTGGAAGCCTTTTGTGTTAATCGGGTATGAAGAAACTAACCTTCTGTTTTGTGCTAATAGCCAATAAATAAATAAAATAAAATAAAAATTCATTTTTGGCCTTCTGTTTATAAATTTGTAAAACAAACTTTAAGAATGAATTGCAAAATAAATAAATAAATAAATAAAGCTTACATATCTTTTATAATTTTATCCTATCTATGTTTTTCAAATTTGACATAAAACCACTTAAAATTTTCTAATTTAATCGATTTTATCACAGATAATTTGCAAAAATGATATATATATATATATATATATATATATATATATATATATATATATATATATATATATATATATATATATATATATATATATATATATATATATATATATATATATGAGGGTAGGTTATAATGTGGATAGTAAATATTATGTGGATGTAGAGATTGATATAGACCAAGAGTTTATAATATATATTCTAATAGAATATATATTCTGATTGAATACATATTATGACAGAATAGATATTTTGATTGAATGAATATTTTGAATAATAACAAATTTTTGAACCATGAGTTGAACAATAACAACGCTCCTAAAAAATAACCATCAATTATTAATATTAGTGAAGAATCTAAGGTAAAAAAAAAAACAAAAAAAAAACGATTTTTATCGTCACATTATATAAAATTACAATGTTATTTTTTGAATTTTTTCCCACGTTCTATTAGAATATAAGCTTTATAGTGAGTAATTCTTGAAAAAAATATATTCATTCGATAAGAATACAATATCATTCATGAAAAAATCTTCATTCTTCCACAAGGTTCACCACAAGAATGCGGGGTTAGATATGGATCGGAAGTTGGTTCCTGTCTTTTTCCACAGAAACAAACAGGACAGATATCTTTTGAGGATGTGAGCTGAACTGATTGACATCCAGGGCATCACCAATTGAATCCTTGATTTTTCTCTGTAGATAAGTCGATGGAAGTAGGTGCTCTAGCCTACTTCTTGATACAATGTAAATGGAAGATTGAAAAACAACTTGAATAGGACCAAATAGGGGCAGAACGCCTCACCATATCATAACATATCATGCATTCGATCGTCCCTTTTAGAAGTTTGTCTTCAATTTCTTGAACAAGTTGAGGTAAAGCTCTTGTCGTGCCTTTTGAACCTCTCTCCTCGCGAGGAGCATCCTTTCTTCTATCTCTAGTCTGATTGACCCGAGGTATATGTTGTTGCCTTCTTTGTACCCCAACATTTCCTCTATTATGAGCGTTTTGAGGCAGTGGATGTGACAACCTGAAATTTCCATTATGTACAACATATCAAGTCAATAGAAGTCAGAACAGTTACTGTTAATTTTCAGACTATTTGGGATAAGTTTGAGTATTTTATGATTAACACTTTAGGAGATGCCAGGAGAGGGGATGCTCTAGGGTTTATTGTGCAACAATAACATTTCATACTACAAGAAATTGGAAATTTACGACCCAAACATGGAGTTTGCGGTCCTAAACCCCAAGGGGTATATATATGGTCCTTAGCCATATTTATTAATTTGTTCCATTTCCAACTAGAGAAAAATCTGATTCTCTCTCAAGGATCTTCGACCTTTCATCCCAAATCGGGAGTGCTTCTATCTAAGAGTATAATATGGCTTGTTATATGTCTAAACACCAAGAAGTCATAAGAAAACAACAAGATCAAAGAGTTTACGGCCCAAGAACATATTGGACCGTAAACCCTTCTTTAAGGGCCAAAAGTGTGCCCTAGTCCCTTCCTTTCCTTATGAAACTACCCTAGACTCATACCTTAATGTGTGTAGGACTTGAAAGCACAAAAATACCATGTCCATGAGAGATTACGGCCGTAAACCCTAAGGGAATTGGTCTAAGGGCCATGAACTCCTCAAAGGAGGTGAAGGGTGCCCTAATATCTTCCATGGACTAAACCATCAAGTAGAAATACTTCTAAGAGACATGTAAGGCTTCAAAACATCAAATGGTCAAAAGCTTAGGAGATTACGGCTGTAAACTCAAGGGTTTATGACCGTAAACTCATTGTGTTATGGTCCTTGGGGAGTAAACTCAAGAAAGGGGTTCTTTGGAACCCTAAACCCAATAGCTTTGTCCTACAACAACTTAGATGAAATCCTTAGGACTTATAACACTTATATAAGGTGTTTAGTATGTTCTAGGATGTCTTAACATTGTCAATTAGCTGTTTAAAGACTAATTGGATACATATATGTGTGATTATATGTTAATTAGGATCTTGAGTGTGTACAAGTCTTCACTTGACACTTAGCAATCCTACATCGTTCAGTTCATCCAAACCACCATCTACAGGTGCTTTCATACTCCTTAATCAATGTTTTAAATGATTTTAAATGCTTTAATGGTGGGGGGGGGGAATACAAGTAGAAAACAGCATGCTATAGAAGCAATCGTATGTGTTTCATGATTGTGTTTTCATCCAACTGATTTCACATGCTTTAAAATGTGATGCATGAAATGGTTTTCTATCTTAAAAATACTTTGTTATCAAATGTAAAATGACATCAAGTCATTGTTAGTTATTGTTCAAAACTCTTAAATGTCTTACAAAACCATTTTCGTCTTCTTGATCAAAACTATATCCATACACTTATGTTCTTTTATATATATATATATATATATATATATATATATATATATATATATATATATATATATGATAGCTTTCATCCTTTATTCAGTTCCCACACTCTTGTGTAGCAAGGGTGTATAAACTTTCTTGGACATCAATTACCTTCCAGTAAACTATTATAGGGATAGTTAGGGGATACAAAATATTATTCCTATTACAAGCAATTACACAAGAGTCAGTTCATTCATGGGCCTATACTAAATGCTATATGAAGAGATACACTTACATGGATACTTGTACCTTGATACTATATGATGAGATACTATTACATATCATACGTGTAGTTTAGTTCTGTCTATCCTAGTACAAAAGGATATCATATGGGTGTAACGACCCAAAATTTAAGACCAAAAATTCCTTTAATAAATCATTACTTAAAGTAACTTCATCATTCCAAAACATAATATGAGTATAAGTTTTCAAAACATATGTTCGTTATCAGAGTAAAAATTCCCAGGCTGTCTAATATATGGTGTGTGCCATGCGATCACCCCGAGCTCTTTCCTCCGCTACCGGAAGTACCTGAAACCAAAACTGAAAACCGTAAGCACGAAGCTTAGTGAGTTCCCCACCCTACCACATACCATGCATAACCACATACTGCACATACTGGGCCACGCCCCCTATCTTGGGCCTCGCCCCTACCTCGGGCCTCGCCCGCTACAACGGCCCCGCCGCTCCAGGCCCCGCCTGGCTTCGAGCCCCGCTCGGATACATATCTGTTTTACTTAGGCCTCGCCTGTCACAGGGCCTCGCCCGTCAAATAATAATAATAACACATAAACATTTCATAACACATAACTAACACATGTAACTGGTTCGGTCCTAAGGCCTCACCTTTCCTGGGCCTCGCCCATGTCCTGCTACTGAGGAGTCATGGAACCCCATCCATGCTCCTAATGGTAGTGAGGTACGGGCCTAGCCCACTCTCACTCCTGTTCTAATTCGGGCCTCGCCCCTAATCTGCTACTAGTGAGATATGGAGCCCCATCTACACTCACCTCCCTACCAGGTACATACATGTATCACACAGACAACAAGTATAACTATCATATGTAAACAATTCCGTGGGCGCCCGCCCGCTATTACTGGACCTCGTACTGCAAACAATGCTAGCATACTATGCCTAGGGCTAACCCCCAGGTCTTCTACTCATAACTACATGGGCCGACATTGTGGCCTTAGACCCATCCACACAAAGGGAAACTCACCTGAACTGGCTGAACTTGCTGATGATCTCACTGGCTGCTTCCCGACCACTCACGGAACTCCTGCTCCCCTTGCTCCCCGAACTACCAATATCAATGTAACACTGAGTCTAACTGACCCCCGAAAGACAACCAAGTACACCCTAGTCCAAGGTCAAAGTCCTGGTCAAAGTTAACCTTCCAGGTCAACCCTACTCGCCGAGTCACCCTACTGACTCGCCGAGTTCATAATATTCAGGTTCCTTCCATTCCTGACTCGACTCGTCGAGTCTACCGATTTCTGAGTCCAGACCTGTCCAACTCACTGAGTCTCCACCCGACTCACTGATTCGAGTCACAACTCGAAAGGTTTGGGGGTTTCGCGACCTGACTCGCCGAGTCCAAGGCAATCTTCATACGACTCGACGAGTCGTTCATCCCACTCGTCGAGTTTCTCCAAAACTTCATGCTACTCGCCGAGTCCACTCAAAGGACTCGTCGAGTCCCTTCAGATCTCCTTACATGCAGAGGATTTTTGAGTCATGCATGGACTCCAAACTATAGATCCACCCTTCCCAAGCCTATTCCACACGTAAAGTTGCAAACTTTACGTGTAGAGAAGGAGATCTACGCAAGATACGCCTTTAACTAGGGTGTAAGGCCAAGGGACTTCAAAATCGACTCAATGGCTGATACTTTATGCTCCTCCAGGCCCTAAAACACTTGAATCTGAAGTAGCAACTCCAGATTCGGCCTCTACCCCAAAATAACAACATTATGGCAAAAGAGCCCCACAACCACATGTAGATCTAGGTGCAAAAAGAGTCCAGGAACTAGTTTATTACCTCCAAGTGCTCAGAATAAACTCACAATCCCAGATCTAAAGCTCCTTCTTGCTCCTCCAAGTTCCTTCTTCCTTTTCCAAGCCTTAAAGCACCTTCCAAGGCTCAACTAGGAGATATGACGGCTAGGGTTTGACATCCAGGGCTAAAGAGGCAGTAAGGAACCCTAGGAAGAAGATTAAGACGTTTATATAGGCCCCAAGTCCCGAATTTAGGGTTTTCCATGCACAGACCAGACTCGCCGAGTCACCTTGGCCGACTCGCCGAGTCGGTCACTTACACCTCGACCCGGATCCCGCTCGGACTCGCCGAGTCAGCCCTTAAATTAGGGCTT